TGTTTATTGACAAAACGGGAAATCGAGAAAAGAGACAGAAATCGTATCGCCGTGATTCACCAGCGTGCAACTGATTATTTAAAAGATTACGAAGGCACAAACCAGGTCAGAATCTAAACCAACGTTCGACAGAATGACACGGTGTTCCAGAACTATTCACAACAGCCCCAGACTGTATTGGGATGGTCAGTCTGATCATAAATGGCCACTACTTAAACTATTTGCGGTTAATGGACCATGTTCTTCTCTTCTAAGGGGCACAGGATTCTTTCTTCTAATTGACACAAAGTATCCAAGAGCTGAACCGGGAAAGCATGAATGTGCACCTGAACATCTACTTCAAAAAAATATAGATATGTGTGTGTTTGTGACGTGTAATGTGTATATAGCGCACGTGGGAAGCTTACATTTGATAGGGTGGTTATGCGTTAAATGAACATACTTCTATCGAATGAAACGATGGAATTTAAATGCGAAAATTTTTTATTGTCCGTTGGGTTTAATCCCATTATCAGGTTCTTACTCAGATCGTTCTGCACGGTTAAGCAGCGCCGTATATTCTCATTAATTTGTCATTCGTCACCGCTTTTTGTCACCATGTTCGTTTAGTCAATCTGTGACGCTCATATTCGTGCATTGGTTTTAGGGTATCTTATGATGGAAAGGTGACTATCTCATTAACGCCTTTCCACGGTCATAATTTCTGCTGTTGCATATTAATTGGTTTCTATTTTCGATCTCTATTTGAAGCTGTTAGCTGTCACATGAAACGTGCACAAGATGACAGTCGTATTGATACTAGAGTACTGATTTCAAGCTTGTGCATATGCTGTAATTTCCGTTACCCCTAGATCTGCATCATTTTGTTGTCCCGTGTCATCACTTCAGGAGCTACCAAGAAGGATGACGTGGCGGTTTGCTGAAGTTGTAAAACGGACATGTTATTTTCTTTCGATCAAACTTCGAACAGTTTTGATTAACCCGGTTGCACAGCATAACGGCCAAACTTTAATACGTTACAGCTTCAATCTCTTTGAGTTTCATGAGACTTTATTAGAGATTAATAAAGCAGTTCGTCCGCGTCTTCTCAAGGAAAGGTCAGGGTCATAAAATGTTTTAGTAGTGAGAAGGCGGTTCCTTCTGTTTCAGCGTGATCGCGATGCTTAATGGCCAGTTGATGGTTTTGGCCTAAGAAATGGACGTAGGCAAGGGAATTTTTCGTACCACACTATCTTCTGGGAAAAACTATATGACAATCGAAACAGTGCTGAGACACTGGCATCAGAGTATGGAGAAAACGAACGCAATCGAAGCTACTACGGACTTCGTTATATATACATATATACGTAGTTGTGCAGTCCCTCAATGTTCTCTCTTCTTTGCATTCTGCCTCCACAGCTGGCCAAACAATTTGATTACCGAGTCACCCCAAGGCGTTTTTTTGCGCTACACATAACGGATCGTTTGATACGCACGACTAAATATATTTGTTAGAATTTCAGCCGCTCCACGAGCTTTTAAATTTATTACAGAAGGCCTAAGTGATTATTTCCAAGTAAATAGACAGTGTCTGCGACTTATCTGCGTTAAAGTGATAGAGACATCGTCTGAGAGACGTTGACGTCTATTTCGATCAGCATGTTCAATTTCAAATATTAATAATGTCCACACTGATGCGCAAATCCGCACTCGGCATGAGGCGTCGAGAAGTTGTTTCGAAATCGGATCAACAGCTGGAATGCTGGTAAAACGTCCAGTGCGTAATTTAGATGCTACAACTGGAGCTGAATCAACGAGGATGAATGGAAGGCATTCGTCAATGCGTAAAAATGCCATTCTAGACTTATCCCTCAAAGCATGCATAACAGTGAAACATTAGCTTAATGTTAAACCACCTGATATTG